AGGGGGGAGAGGTGGGGGGGGAGTGTGGGGAGAGTGGGGGGGGGAGAAGGGGTGGAGGGGGAGGGGCTAGTGTGTGTGTGTGGGTTAGTGGGTGGGTTGGTGAGTGGGTGGGTGGTAGTAATTGTTGTTGTAGTGGTGGTTGTTGTTGTCGTGGCTGTTGCAGTTGTTGTAGTGGTGGTTATAATGGTTGTTAGGGTTGTTGTTGTGGTTGTTGTTGTGGTTGTTATTGTTGTTGTGGTTCTTGTTGTTGTAGTTGTTTTTGTTGTGGTTGTTGTTGTGGTGGTTGTTGTGGTTGTTGTTGTGGTTGTTGTGGTTGTTGTTGTGGTTGTTGTGGTTGTGATTGTTGTTGTTATTGTTGTTGTGGTTGTTGTTGTGGTTGTTGTTGTTTTGGTTCTTGTTGTTGTTGTTGTTGTGGTTGTTGTTGTTGTGGTTCTTGTTGTTGTTGTTGTGGTTGTTGTAGTGGTTGTTGTTGTGGTTCTTGTTGTTGTTGTGGTTGTTGTTGTTGTGGTTGTTGTAGTGGTTGTTGTTGTGGTTCTTGTTGTTGTTGTGGTTCTTGTTGTGATTGTTGTTATTATTGTTGTGGTTGTTGTTGTGGTTGTTGTTGTTGTTGTGGTTGTTGTTGTTGTGGTTCTTGTTGTTGTTGTGGTTGTTGTAGTGGTTGTTGTTGTGGTTCTTGTTGTTGTTGTGGTTGTTGTAGTGGTTGTTGTTGTGGTTCTTGTTGTTGTTGTGGTTCTTGTTGTTGTGATTGTTGTTGTTATTGTTGTTGTGGTTCTTGTTGTTGTGGTTGTTGTTGTTGTGGTTCTTGTTGTTGTTGTGGTTCTTGTTGTTGTTGTTGTAGTGGTTGTTGTTGTGGTTCTTGTTGTTGTTGTGGTTGTTGTTGTGGTTGTTGTAGTGGTTGTTGTTGTGGTTGTTGTTGTGGTTCTTGTTGTTGTGATTGTTGTTGTTATTGTTGTTGTGGTTCTTGTTGTTGTTGTGATTGTTGTTGTGGTTGTTGTTGTGGTTGTTGTTGTGGTTGTTGTTGTGGTTGTTGTTGTGGTTGTTGTTGTTCAGGGGCCGTAGACTCGGAGGCTGCGGTCCATCCCCACCGACGCGAGGAAGTTGGCGTGGAGACCAAACCTCACCCCTGTCACCAGACCCGTGTGCTCTACACAACAACCACAACAACAACCATCAACAACCACAACAACAACAACAACCACAACCATCAACAACAACCATCAACAACCATCAACAACAACCATCAACAACAACCACAACCATCAACAACCATCAACAACAACCTCAACCATCAACAACAACCATCAACAACCATCAACAACAACCATCAACAACCACAACCATCAACAACCATCAACAACAACCATCAACAACAACCACAACCATCAACAACAACCATCAACAACCATCAACAACAACCATCAACAACAACCAAACCTCACCCCTGTCACCAGACCCGTGTGCTCTACACAACAACCACAACAACAACCATCAACAACCATCAACAACCACAACAACAACAACCACCACAACAACAACAACAACAACAACCACCACAACCATCAACAACAACCATCAACAACCATCAACAACAACCATCAACAACAACCACAACCATCAACAACCATCAACAACAACCATCAACAACAACCACAACCATCAACAACCATCAACAACCATCAACAACAACAACCACAACCATCAACAACCATCAACAACCATCAACAACAACCATCAACAACAACAACCACAACCATCAACAACAACCATCAACAACCATCAACAACAACCATCAACAACAACCATCAACAACAACCAAACCTCACCCTGTCACCAGACCTGTGTGCTCTACACAACAACAACAACAACCATCAACAACAACCATCAACAACCATCAACAACAACCATCAACAACAACCACAACCATCAACAACAACCAAACCTCACCCCCGTCACCAGACCTGTGCTCTACACAACAACAACAACCATCAACAACCATCAACAACCACAACAACAACAACCACAACAACAACCACCACAACCATCAACAACCACCAAACCTCACCCCTGTCACCAGACCTGTGTGCACTACACAACAACCACAACAACCATCAACAACAACAACAACCACAACAACAACAACCACAACAACAACAACCACAACCATCAACAACAACAACCACAACCATCAACAACCACCAAACCTCACCCCTGTCACCAGACCTGTGTGCTCTACACAACAACCACAACAACAACCATCAACAACAACCATCAACAACAACCATCAACAACCACCAAACCTCACCCCTGTCACCAGACCTGTGTGCTCTACACAACAACAACAACAACAACAACCATCAACAACAACCACAACAACCATCAACAACAACAACCATCAACAACCACAACAACAACCATCAACAACAACCACAACCATCAACAACCATCAACAACCACCACAACCATCAACAACCACAACAACCACCATCAACAACCACCATCAACCACCACCACAACCATCAACAACCATCAACAACCACCACAACCATCAACAACCACAACCACAACAACCACAACCACAACAACAACCATCAACAACCACCAAACCTCACCCCCGTCACCAGACCTGTGTGCTCTACACAACAACCACAACAACAACCATCAACAACAACAACCATCAACAACCATCAACAACCACAACAACAACAACCATCAACAACCACAACCATCAACAACAACCACAACAACAACCATCAACAACCACCACAACCACAACCATCAACAACCATCAACCACCACCACAACCATCAACAACCACAACCACCACAACCATCAACAACCATCAACAACCACCAAACCTCACCCCCTGTCACCAGACCTGTGTGCTCTACACAACAACAACAACAACCATCAACAACAACAACAACAACCACAACAACAACCATCAACAACCACAACAACAACAACAACCACAACAACAACAACAACCATCAACAACCATCAACAACCACAACAACCACCACCACCATCAACAACCATCAACAACCACCAACAACCACTACCATCAACAACCATCAACAACAACCACCACAACCATCAACAACAACCACCACCATCAACAACCATCAACAACCACCAACAACAACCACCACAACCATCAACAACCATCAACAACCACAACAACAACCATCAGCAACCACCACAACAACAACCACAACAACAACCATCAGCAACCATCAAACCTGACTTCCGTCACCAGACCTGTGTGCTCTACACAACAACCACAACAACCATCAACAACCACCAACAACCACAACAACCACCAACAACCACAATAACCATCAACAATCACCACAACCACCACAACAACCATCAACAACCATCAACAACCACCACAACCATCAACAACCACCACAACCATCAACAACCACCACAACAACCATCACCAGCACTACCATCAACAACCACCACAACCATCAACAACCACCACAACCATCAACACCACCACAACCATCAACAACCATCAACACCACCACAACCACCACAACCATCAACACCACCACAACCATCAACAACCATCAACACCACCACAACCATCAACAACCATCAACACCACCACAACCATCAACAACCACCACAACCATCAACACCACCACAACCATCAACACCACCACAACCATCAACACCACCACAACCATCAACAACCACCACAACCATCAACAACCACCACAACCATCAACAACCACCACAACCATCAACAACCACCACAACCATCAACAACCACCACAACAACCATCAACAACCATCAACACCACCACAACCATCAACAACCACCACAACCATCAACAACCACCACAACAACCATCAACAACCATCAACACCACCACAACCATCAACAACCACCACAACCATCAACAACCACCACAACAACCATCAACAACCATCAACACCACCACAACCATCAACAACCACCACAACCATCAACAACCACCACAACCATCAACAACCACCACAACCATCAACAACCATCAACAACCACCACAACCATCAACAACCACCACAACCATCAACACCACCACAACCATTAACAACCACCACAACCATCAACACCACCACAACCATCAACACCACCACAACCATCAACAACCACCACAACCATCAACACCACCACAACCATCAACAACCATCAACACCACCACAACCATCAACAACCACCACAACCATCAACAACCACCACAACAACCATCAACAACCATCAACACCACCACAACCATCAACAACCACCACAACCATCAACAACCACCACAACCATCAACAACCACCACAACCATCAACAACCATCACCAACCACCACAACCATCAACAACCACCACAACCATCAACACCACCACAACCATCAACAACCACCACAACCATCAACACCACCACAACCATCAACACCACCACAACCATCAACAACCACCACAACCATCAACACCACCACAACCATCAACAACCATCAACACCACCACAACCACCACAACCATCAACACCACCACAACCATCAACAACCGCCACAACCATCAACACCACCACAACCATCAACAACCATCAACAACCACCACTACCATCAACACCACCACAACCATCAACAACCACCACAACCATCAACACCACCACAACCATCAACACCACCACAACCATCAACAACCACCACAACCATCAACAACCACCACCACCACAACAACCATCACCACCACTACCATCAACAACCACCACAACCATCAACAACCACCACAACCATCAACAACCACCACAACCATCAACACCAACACAACCATCAACAACCATCAACAACCACCACTACCATCAACAACCACCACAACCATCAACAACCACCACCACAACAACCATCACCAGCACTACCATCAACAACCATCAACAACCACCACAACCATCAACAACCACCACAACCATCAACACCACCACAACCATCAACAACCACCACAACCATCAACACCACCACAACCATCAACACCACCACAACCATCAACAACCACCACAAGCATCAACACCACTACAACCATCAACAACCATCAACACCACCACAACCATCAACACCACCACAACCATCAACACCACCACAACCATCAACAACCATCAACAACCACCACAACCATCAACACCACCACAACCATCAACAACCATCAACAACCACCACTACCATCAACACCACCACAACCATCAACAACCATCAACACCAACCACAACCATCAACACCACCACAACCATCAACACCACCACAACCATCAACAACCATCACAACCATCAACAACCACCACCACCACAACAACCATCACCACCACTACCATCAACAACCACCACAACCATCAACAACCATCAACCACCACCACAACCATCAACAACCACCACAACCATCAACACCAACACAACCATCAACAACCACCACTACCATCAATAACCACCACAACCATCAACAACCACCACCACAACAACCATCACCAGCACTACCATCAACAACCACCACAACCATCAACAACCATCAACAACCACCACAACCATCAACAACCACAACAACCACAACAACCACAACCATCAACAACCACAACAACCACAACAACCACAACAACCATCAGCAACCATCAACAACCACAACAACCACAACAACAACAACCATCAACATCCACCAAACCTGACTCCCGTCACCAGACCTGTGTGCTCTACACAACCACCACAACCACCACAACCATCAACAACCACCACAACCACCACAACCTTTCAACAACCACCACAACCACAACCATCAACAACCATCAACAACCATCAACAACCACCACAACCACCACAACCACCACAACCATCAACAACCATCAACAACCATCAACAACCACCACAACCATCAACCATCAACAACCATCAACAACCATCAACAACCACCACAACCACCACAACCATCAACAACCATCAACAACCACCACAACCACCACAACCATCAACAACCACCACAACCACCACAACCATCAACAACCATCAACAACCATGAACAACCACCACAACCACCACAACCATCAACAACCATCAACAACCATCAACAACCACCACAACCATCAACAACCACCACAACCATCAACACCACCACAACAACAA